GTTTGAACCCTGACGGCCATCGGTCAAGGTTCAAACCTTGGCCGATGGCCCTGGAAGATCCCCTGTAGGACCCAGGCCTGGGTCCTACAGGGATATGTAAATCGATTCCCGGGGTCGGGGTAAACGGGCCCCGCCCCGCGAATCGGGGCCAATCCTGATGGCGGACCAGTCGGTCCGATCTCCGACGGCTTTTTTCCTCCACCAACCACCAACTTCCAACCCGATCACCCATCGATCGACCCAGACCCAACCAACGCCACTCACCCGAGCACCCGAGGAACACCCGAGCACCCCGAGCGACCCCTGAACCCCCAAAACCCGCAAATCCCTAGTAAACACACGCACGCCCGCTCACTCACCGATCCGATCCGATCCGATCCGATCCGATCCGACCCGACCCGATCCGATCCGGCACCCAAAAAAAGGGTATCTGGGGTAAAAAAACGTGAGGATTCTGTTTTTTTGGGTCTCAACCCCCCCAAAAAGCCCACAAATGGCTCCCTGGCAGGCTGAGCTGGCTGGAAAAGGGGTCCAAGGGCCCCTATCTTGGCCAAGAGGGCTTCCCTCTACCCCGAGGCACCTGATTTTTTGGGTCTCCAGAGGCCTTGTTCCAAGGCCTAAGTGCCCACCCTAATATTGGCCAAATATAGGAAGAAAGGGGTTCCCTGGCACACTGAAGGGGGCCAATGGGTCAGATCGACTCAATGGCCCCAAAGTGGGCCACATTGGGGCTACACAGCCTGGTGGGGGGGCCCAATGGGTCATAATCTGAGGTGTTTCCTGGGCCCCAGCACATGAAGATCACTTTAACTGACTGTTTTGATTTGTATTTGCCCACAATTCACACCATACCAGTGTGTCCGAGGCCCTTTGAATCACTGGAGAACGGGCAGATTTCATCCCATTTGGCTGTGTATGTCATCATGGCTGGAATTCCAGCTCTATAACAAAATACAGCTGACAAGATGGTTGTGATTGATCCTTTTATGTTTGCATTTTGGTTTAGCTGCATTGAGAAATGAATCGCAATACCTCTTCATCAAGTGGCGGTAACAACTCTGGCCACCCGATGAACCTCCCCGATGGATCCATCCGAGCTAGCCAACCGACCCACTTGGCCTCAGGCATCCACCATGCTGCCTACTCTGGGCACAACCCGCACAGCAGAGATCACTCCAGAGGTCAGGACTTCTCCGTCACGCAAGTCCAATCCGGCACTCAAGTGCCCCACGGCTCTGGGGAAATAGACCCCTCTTCGGCTCATCCGCGACAGATCCCAGCTGGCCGTGATCATCCTGGTGCTATGTTTGCCAACTACCCCAGGGAGCAGTTGATGGACTATTCCAGTCATCAACCAATGGTCTACTCAGGCCCGCCACATACGGGCTACCCGGCGGCAAATAATTATGGCACCACAGCGACACCCTTCCATCACTCAGCCCCCGCATACACCATTCATCCTCATCACCCCTACTTGGCCCCTCCCCATTTGCAGTTGGCCCCCATGCACCCACCAGTCCCTCAGTACTATCACCATCCCTCCTTCCATATGTACCCTCCCCAGCATGCTCCAATCTCTTTCGCTCACAACGCTCATCCGAATTATTGGCCGCTTGAGACAAATTCGCAGAACCCCTCCATCAATTATGGTTCCCACCCAGGTCGCGCTGTTACGTCGCATCCGTCCCAGATTGCTTACGCCCCTCATGAACCAATCAATGTGGGGTTCCAATCCAACAGAACTTATGAGTCCCGCCAGGAACCAAGTGATCCTCCTGTTCAATTTGGTCCAAGACCTGTACAGCTCGAAAGACCACATGGCCCAGGCGAGATCACAACTCAAGACCCGGCAGCATTGAAAAGATCTAACTCACAACACCCGGCTGCATACGAGAGGTCTAACTCTGACCAGCGCAACCTTGTGGACCCAGTGGGTGATTGGGAAAATGCATGTTGGGACTTGGGCGACCCAACGGCTAATAAGCCCATCTTGATGAGAAAATTCAAGAAATACAGCCGAAGATTGTCCAATGTTGCATGTGGCATGGGGGCCGTGATCCCATGTTCGACCTTTTGTTTGAGCAGACTGGCCCCAACCTCTAACAAAGAAAGCGAATTGCCTAGGGTCACGTGTGGGCCGGTTCGATAAGCGGTGAAGGCTGATGTTGGACCGAAAATCACCAGATTGGCAAGCATCTGGACGTGTTGAAGGTGGTGCTTTGAGCGGTAGGAATCGATTTTGGATTGCTTGGGTTTTGGAACGCAGCCGCCTGACAAGAAAGCCAATCCGGCGAGAGCTCCTATGAAATACTGTATCAACAAGAAGACACCAGGTTCGGCCCCCGTGTTGTCGGTCATCCTCCCGCCGATGTTCTCATACGCCCCACAGAAGTGGTAGTACGCAGTATATACATTTGTATCATCATCGAATGCTTGAGGGATCCAGCTGTCTTTCAAATTCGCCAACCTCTTAAGTGCCCAAGTTTGATGTAAGGCTGCCCGCAGTCGAGAATATGCAGATCTCCCAGGAGCAAAGAAGGTTGCCAAATGTGGCAGAAGCGTGTGGTCTTTGGTTACCTTGTCCGACAGCTGGAACGATCGGACTTGTTCCATATCCACCATGTCAGACGTAATGAGAGACAAATTCCCTGCAGTATTGAGAATATCCTCTGATGAAATGGATTCAACATCAGTAGGCAGGCTTGTCCACAAAGACCCAGCTGTATCCAAAGGACATACCAGATTCACAAAGCCTGGAGGTGACGTCCACATCCTTCCAAAACTGCTGACTATCTTCTTCTGGGATTGCCGCATGGGCAGATAGAAGTGGTGGCAAATGCAGGAGGAGGTACTGAATGTTCAACAGTGCTGATTGGGCGGATTGGTGTGACCATCGGATTCCGCGAGCCAGCTCGTTGTTCCAGCGATCAACCTCCTGGGGTGCTAAAACTTGCCCAGGGACAAACAATTCCACAGCTTTGGGATGATGGAATTGTACATGTCAGCCATTGAAAACACATTAATCATACATCAGGAAGCAATAACTCACATGGAGCACGGCCAGATCTGTTCTCAGGTATTTCCCCTCCAACACCCCTCTTATTTCCTCCCCCAGCAAGCTGGCTGCTGCAGCCCTGACTCGGGTTCCGGGGAATGCTCATCCCTTTCATCAACTCCAAGGATATAAAATCGTCCACCAAGGGATGATAACGCGGGGTTGCCTCCTGTGTTGGGCCGCTTCGGAATTGTGCTGGATGACCAATTCCGTGGTCAAGAATAACTGCTACTTGTTGCTTCTGCTGGGTGGGCTGAAACCACTCGCCATCGTCCGGAATTCCTTCAGCATCAGGGTCCTCTTCAGAGTCGTCGTCCACCCTAGATTTCTTTGAATGTCCATGATCATCAGCTTCATCCTCTTCAGAGTCGGGCACCCTATTTCTGTTCTTTCTCGAATTCCCAGTATGATTGTCTTCAATGCCTTCGAGTATGACGGTAGAGAATCGATACTTTGGCCGCCGCTCCTGGCGCTCACGAATCACCACTGGACGCTCGGATTGCCGCTTAGTATAGCAGGAGGCGGTTGTTTATCAGCTGGGGGGGGTGGGTACCGGCGGGACTGGGTTTCCTTG